TACCGTAATCATTTTGCTGGTTTAAAAATATAGATCTGACTTCTCAAAAAGATGGAAAAGTTTAGTTAAGAGATTTCTATTTATCAATCCACATCCCATTCTTAGAACTTATTTACCTTTGCCTATTCCATTAAAACAATGAACTGACCATAGTAATGTAGTTACTTCTGCAATCAGCATTTACTTCTAGATGGAAAATTATCCAACTGTACAGAAATTTCTAAGAGAATACATTGTCTGTGATTGGTCTACAGGGAGAAAATAAATGAGGACTTCATTTCAAACACCTAAAGAAATAATGAATTAAAGGAAAGCATCTGGATAATGGAAAACTTATATTGGATAGGATTGATGAGATGCTCAGAAAGAGGGAGATGAGAAAACTGAAGAAGAAAAAACAGTATATGAATTGGTCTATGTATGTAGTAGAAACAGATGCAAAAAGCAAAAAGAAAGAAATAGAAAAATAAAGTGAATGGTATAGGTGAGAACCATATTTAGATACTCAGAATTTTGTTTCCTCTTAAGTTATGCTTTTAATTTCTTTTGTTTATTGATTGTTAACTCTTTTGATGTGCTATTACCTGAAAGAAATAATCTGGTAGAATCTATAGAATTGTTTGCAAATTAAGGCCTAGTGATGCAAAAGTGTAACCTTGTCTGGGTTTTCTATTGATTGAGATTTATGTAGCTACAAGATCCAATCTAGGACAATTCATTTTAATCTGGAATTATTAATTAAAAGGCAGCCAACTGAAAGTTACAAGAAAAGTTCACATACCCAGCTTGCTTAACTTTCCTAATATTTACCAAATACATAGTCAAATTTTTGAATAGTGAAAAATATAATTCATACTATGAATTCAAATAAATAAATAAATATTGATAATATTTTTACTTGACATCAATGAAGTCATTAAATCATTCAACTAATAAATAAAATTCAGTTTTACCTGATTAAACCATCTGTGCCAGGTAATGTTTTCATTATTGATGGTTAACATTTCCTCTGGAGGACTTAAGTGATCTATATTTCCAATTTTTGCTCGAATAAATGACTGGTTTGGGAAAACAATCCAGTTGATAACATCAAATCCACCACTTACTACCCCATTCTGATCAAATGAAACAAGTTTTCCGCACTGTTGTTAAAAGATACAGTTCTCAGAAAGCTATGGAGCTAAAACAAAAGAAAAATGCAAGAGTATTAGAAGGGTTAAATTATTCCTCTCCATGATGGTAATTTTCAGAAGAGAAAATTGGATATATAGTTGCATTCTATGTATATTACTTTTCTTTTTACTAGAAGTAAAAGAAGAAGAATTGAGAGTATAAGGATTATTGGAAGAAAATTAGAAAAATGTATGCTAGGAGAGATAATGGATTTCACAAACCTCTTTGTTTTGCTAACCACTCTTTTAATCATTTGAATGCTACAATATAAAATCAACAAGATCCAATAAATTAAAATCTGTATGCTCTTCAGAGTCAAACAGTTATACATAAAAATACAGATACATGTGAGATTTGCGAGAGACAGAAATTAAGGAAATGGAGACCAGCCTTGCCATATACAAGCACTGTTGCTCCTCAACCAAATAAGGACATTGCTTCCATTACCTGCCAGAAGTCTTTTTTATGGATCTTCCCTCCTATTCTGTCTGTCAGACCTCTTCTTTTATGTTTTGAGGAGGACATGGCATGTAAAGCATGAGCTAAAGAATGAATAGCATTATAGATGCTGTAGCTGTGACCAGTCATTTTCATTTCAAAAAGAGGTCCAGCAAGAGTCTCTAGATTCTCTTCCCCATTACAAATTTTCTCAGGCACATCACTCGGAACTGCATCAGGCAAAATACAGGCAAAAACATCTTGCCAGAACAGATTGATGAATCCATCTTCCTTGGTGATGAAGGGATTTTTCTTCTTAAGAAATGATTTAAACTTTGGCAGATCAACAGATTGCACTGTGAAAGAAAGAGCACCATGGATTATTTCTGTATCCCAATCGCATTGAAATGCTGATGAAGCAAATTCAATCTGAGCATTCAGTATCCATGCAACTCCTTTAGGTTTACTTGTCACATCTGAGGACTTTGATAGATATGTGAACCATCTCAAAGTCCCCATGGTGGTAGATTCTCCAAAAACAACTATCACATTAGCTTTATTGTCCATGATAAGATCATATAATTTTATTCCCTGTTCATACATACCAGCCAATCCACCCATATCACTATATTTTGGGAGTTTTTCAATATAAGAAGAACATATTCCTTTTTTGGAAAAAAGTGGAACCACATTTCGAATAATTTCTTCTCCATGTTCACTATCTGTTGCCAGGAGCCCAACCCAGGTCCAGTTAAAATGCAGGAGCAGTGAGACCATCCCTGCATGTTGAAGAGCTTCTGGTGGAACCAATTGGTAAAAAGAAAGCCCTGGAGTTTTATCATTCATTAATGGAGTGGAGCCAAAAATGAGCTGATGAGACATGGAAGAAAAAACAGCATTTTCAGATTGTCATAACAAGCTACATAATGTAGATGATAATAACAGTTACATTAGTCATACAAAGCAATCTTCAACATTGCTAATACAAATACTGTTTGAAGATCCTCTACATTTCCATATTACTATTTCTATGTGAAATCAGGGGGAGTGCTTTAGATTTAATAATTGCTTAAAATTAAATACTGGGCATTCAGTCAAAATTGGGCATAGCTAGTCTAGTGAAGAGAAGGATCAGGTGTGACTTGATAGCAATATTCCAAAATTTGAGGGTCTTTCATGGAGCGAAAGGGAACAACCTATTTTCCAAAGCACCTGAAGGCCAGACAAGGAACAATAGATGGAAACTGATCGAGGAGAAATTCAATCTAGAAAATAAGGAGAAATTTTCTGACTGTGAGAACAATCAATTAATGGAACAACTTGCTTCAGAAGTTGTGGGTACTTCATCACTGGAGGCTTTCAAGAAGAGACTGGACAATCACTTGTCAGAAATTGTATAGAGTCTCCTGCCTGAGCAGAGGATTGGACTAGATGACCTTCAAGGTCCATTCCAACTCTGCTATTCTGTTATCTGAATATTTGGGTAATTCAAGATGATACATTGAATCAAGTGCCATGAAATGATTATGATTTGAACCTTCAGGGGTTTCCAGATTCCTACTGGCTCAAGCATTATTTCCAATGTCATTCCATACAGTATATTAAAATATAAGGGAAATACTTTTTGGTGCCACTTATTTTTATAGGATTTGTTTAAGAAAAATCAATTGAAGGAAAAGAAAAACATTTATCCTGCAACATACCCCCACTCCAAATAATATATGTGCTGTCAAAACAGGCACCTTTCTAAATAAATAATATTGATATTTTCTCAATCTATTGTTTGGTCTTTAGCTTGTCCTGTTGACTCTGTCCAATCTATAGACTCATTACATCTCACATTCACTTTCTGTGATCCCCTCTCAAAGGAAAAAAAAATGTTTTCTTTCTTTTTTTTGTCTATTTCTGTTTTGTCTTATTATGGCCCAAGTAACCCTTCATCATTCTGTGTGTAGATTTGAACTTATGGGCTTGCTATAATTGCATATAACCCAGGCTGTTTCTTTACATGGGGCACACCATTCCCAAATATGGTAAATAATAATAATAATTAAATAATAATAATAATAATAATAATAATAATAATAATAATAATAATAA